AAACACACTAAAACTAATATATTTTTCATTTCTGCTTGAAAATGCTTGCCAACAAATGCATGCAGACAACTACAGCTGGGACTTAGTAGCTGGAAAACACTGTAGGACCACAGGATAAAGCCTTACCTAGTCCTAGTTTAAGTGTATGTCTTAGCGTATTTTTTCTAAAACAGCACCGCCCCTTGGCGACAGGTGGCTGCTGCTGCATCGCTCTGTATCAGCCGGTAGTTCGATGCAGATGTGTTTTTTTGCTGGTAGATCATGAACTTTCTACTTAAAGCTGGATATCGTTATTTTCAGAATTTTATTGTACTGATTGGTCTGACAGAAGTGCTGATTGTACCCGCTGGGGTTATTGCATCTTGAAATAGTTTGCATTGGTCAAATCACGAGGATTTTATCTGTCAAACGGTAGATCATATGAGTATGAAGTTAACATAGCAGTTGTGTGCACATACTGAAAGCTGCCGCCAGGACCTGACGGCCCGCGGGCAAGCCGTTGGAATGTTAAGAGGTTAATGATAAAAGTCTAACTATTAGAAACATAATCCACCAAGACCTGCTGGCACCAACTTACCTCTAAACTCATGAACCTTAGAAACAGCTGTAAAACCAGATACTGTATGTTTAGACTGCTTCCCTCAATCTTTACCAACTATCTTCAATAATTTCTTCATCTAAACCATCAACCTGCCTCTTAGAACCCATCCCGACTAGGCTGCTTAAAGAAGTTTTACACTTAGTCAGCACTTCTTTACTTGATATGATCAGTCTATCTTTATCAACAGGCTATGTACCACAGTACTTTAAAGTAGCTGTAATTAAACCTCTTCTGAAAAAGTCCAACCTTGATCCAGATGTTTTAGCCAACTACAGACCTGTATATCTAACCTTCCATTTCTCTCTAAGATCCTTCAGAAAGCAGTCGCCAAACAGTTGTGTGACTTTCTACAGAGCAATAGTTTATTTGAGGATTTTCTGTCAGGATTTAGGACATCATAGCACAGAGACAGCACTTGTGAAAATTACTAATGACCTCCTAATTGCATCAGACATAGGACATGTTTCCGTACTGGTTTTACTAGATCTTAGTGCTGCATTGACCATCATATCCTATTAAAGACACTGGAACATTTAATTGGCATTGAAGGAACCACTCTAAGCTGGTTTAAGTCCTATTTATCAGACTGATTTCAGTTTGTTAACAATGAGTCCTCCATGCACGCCAAACTTAGTCATTCCACGAGGATCTGTGCTGGGACCAATCCTGTTCACTTTATATATGCTTCCTTTAGGCATTATAATCTGGAAACACTCCATAAACTTTCATTATTATGCAGATGATACGTTATTATATCTATTGGTCAAGCAAGATGAAACTCATCAGTTAGGCCCAAGCACCTCCGTGACGCATTTCCTAAAGATATAGTTTCCCTTGATGGGATCGCCCTGGCCTCCAGCACCACTGTGAGGAATCTTGGAGTTATCTTTGATCAGGACATTTCGTTTAAGTCTCACATTAAGCAAATTTCAAGGACTGCCTTTTTTCACCTACATAATATTGCAAAAATCAGGAACATCCTGTCTAAAAATTATGCAGAAAAACTAGTCCATGCATTTGTTACTTCTAGGCTGGATTACTGCAATTCTTTATTATCAGGCTGCTTGAAAAAGTCCGTTAAGACTCTTCAGCTGATCCAGAATGCTGCAGCACGTGTTCTGACAGAAACCAGGAAAAGAGATCATATTTCTCCTATCTTAGCCTCTCTGCATTGGCTCCTGTAAAACCCAGAATAGAATTTAAAATCCTTTTTCTCACATACAAAACTCTTAATGGTCAGGCACCATCTTATCTTAAAGAGCTCATAGTACCTTACTACCCCACCAGAGCACTGCGCTCCCAGAATGCAGGGTTACTTGTGGTTCCTAGAGTCTAGAGTAGAATGGGAGCCAGAGCGTTCAGCTATCAAGCTCCTCTCCTGTCTCCAAATTTAAGAGTCGGCTTAAGACTTTCCTCTTCGATAAAGCTTGTAGTTAGGGCTGGCTCAGGTGAGTCCTGAACCATCCCTGAGTTATGCTGCTATAGGCCTAGACTGCCGGGGGACTTCCCATGATGCACTGAGCTTCTTTCTCCTCTTTCTCTCCCTCTGTATACAACCTCATCCCATTATTGCATGTTACTAACTCAACTTCTCCCCTTTCCGGTAGTCTTGTGCTTTCTCGTCCCTCTCCTCTCTCCTCCTATCACTTCCTGCAGGTGTTTCTGGCTCTGGAGCTGTGGAGTCTGGATCTGTGGTTGCGAGTCACCTGCTGCCCCCGTGTTCCTGCTTGACACCCTCTGCTGCAACTATTGTTACTAGTCCTATTGTTATTACTGTTATTGTAGTCATTAACAATACGACTGCGATGGACTGGCGACCTGTCCAGGGTGTACCTCACCTTTCGCCCAATGCCAGCTGGGATAGGCTCCAGCCCCCCCGCGACCCTGTACGCAGGATAAGCGGTTGACAATGGATGGATGGATGGATGGATTAACAATACGATTATTATCATTAACACTACTGTAAATATCTGTACTATTTTTCTTTCAGGCTATACCAACATTACCTTTACTGTCTGTACCTCTGTGTGTATATTGTGTAGGCTGCCTCACTCCCCTCTCTCTCCCTCCCTCCCCACCTCCTTCACCCCAACCGGTCAAGGCAGATGGCTGCCCACCCTGAGCCATGGTTCTGCTCGAGGTTTCTGCCTCTTAAAAGGAAGTTTTTCCTTGCCTTTGTCGCCTAGTGCTTGCTCTTGGTGGGAACTGTTGGGTTTCTGTAAATAACATCACAGAGTACGGTCTCTGCTCTTTTATGAAAAGTGCTCTGAGGTAACTGTTGTTGTGATTTGGCGCTATATAAATAAAATTGAATTGAAATTGAATAAGATCACTTCATTGACTCATCAAAGTCTGTTTACAGGTGTTGGGGAGTACTACTGCATACACATATATGGGAAAAAGTTGTATAAAGCCTTGGTAAGTCTGATAAATGGCCTCAAGTGATATCACTTGAGTCAGCATTGGAGTGCGATGGTGCTCAAAATCACAGTTTGTAAGTACTGTAATAAAAATAAGTCCATTAAATGGTTCGCCCAACAAAGATGTCATTATTATGCAAACAGCAGCTTTACTGGGAACCAAGTGATTTAATCAATTAGGTGTGGGCAAGCCGAAAGCAAAAAGCACTGATTCAGTTGGCCTGTGATGATAGAAATAAATCCACTCAAACATAGTGAATGTATACTAAGTAAAGACATTCACAGCAAGTGTGACAGTTCATTCTTACCAACTGTCAACCAAACGCAACATGCTTTCTCCTAAAGTAAAAAATATATAAAGCTCAGGAATGCGCTTCATGCTGCAATCTGTTGTTGCACCAAAGATTCTACACTCAACAAGCTGGCAACCACACTAATTTGTTTTGTAATGTAGTAAGTACGCAAAGTACGCAGGCAAGTATGTGAACAATGTTGTTTGCGTCGCCTATGGCTGTCTACGCCTTCACATTGTTAAAAAGCAAGTATGTCGGGGGCTTTAAAAGTATGTGTTTTTTTTGATGTGAAGCAGCTCCATTGTATTTGAGCAGCTTGCAGCATAGCTTCCAAGGAGGGTTAAATGACTGAGAATCTTCACAGATACGTTGTTGCTTGACACAGAGTTACTTTACTGAATAGCAGCTTGAAGTTACTAGTTAGTTTCAAAATAGCATTGCATTTATTTAATTAAACAGCATTTGCCAAAGAAACTGAATATTAGCAGAGGAATGAACGAACAAGATCTTATTACTGATATCAGGGGTCCACTATGTACATTTTGCAGCGGTGGCCCACAGCTGAATTAAAAAACCTAGAGGAAAAGGGTTGATTGTCAGTGAGCTAACCTTTGCTAGCATTTCTACTAGCTTAGCCGACCAAGACTGTGGTGATCAAAGTTAATGCAACACTGCATTTAGTTGCAAACTGGGCACAATTTTCTGGTGAACACACAAGAATTCTGATTTAATTCCTGTCATTCTGCCATCTTAACAGAGATTTCAAGACACACAATGAGAAGCCCTGTGTTCTGGCTCCAGCTTGACTCTCAGCTACAGAGAATGAAACCTCCCTCTAACTAAAGCACTGTGGGAAAACCGAGGTGGAGGGAATCTCACAGGAACCACCAGAGTGTTGGAGCCAGGTTAAAGGGTGGACAAGAGTCAGACAACATTCAGAGTGCAGGACGTTCTGCTCCTCAAGCATTACAATCAAACCCCTTAGACAATCCGTCATAACAACACACACCACGCTGAGACATAACAACACCTGCACTGCAATAACATAGCTCTGCTAGTTGGAATGGCTCAGTCTGATAAGTGTAGCAGAGAGATGCGAGGTGCACTGCAGCTAATGTCACAGTGTGAGATATCAGCAGAATTCAACAATGAACACAATGAACTTCAGGTTTTGATAGGGAAATATTTCTCCAATGTTATCATTTTTAATCTGATTAAGTCTATGTTTAGAGAATGAGGGCTAATTATTTATTTCTTTGCCATGCCATATGTAAACGCCTGATTTGCTCACAAACTTCTATCTAACTTGTGAGCTAACTCGTGCTAAAGCCAGCAGTCAGTGTATATTAGGGCAATATGAGCATGGGCTAAACCACACACTGTAGAAAAACATGGCTGTAGAGTCTCTGAAGGGAGGTCTTTAATTTGCAAGACACAGACTGACTGAGTTTTAATTTAAATTAAATGTACAATTCTACCCTATGAAACTTAATTTGTTATACCACAGAATGTATTATTTTTTTACCCACAAAGCTCCATTCTTTTCTTCATCTATCTCTGCTTGTCAATTGCCTGGACACGTTAGCGGTGTCGCTTCTGGAAACGGCTCCAACAGTGAGTGTGTGCTGGAGCTGGTGTGTGTCTCTAAAGGGAAACTGGAGCAGTCAAGCTAATATAGCTGCTCACCAGATCCCTGTGGAGCACCCAGTTGGCATGGAGGTAATGGATCCCATCCAGAATCTGATACAGGAGAGACTTCACCATCCCTCTGGGCAGCTGCATGGGCTTCTTGTTGGCCTTAGAGGCGCGGTGGAACTTGATGATGTGCTACGAGGCAGAGAAAGGTTTCTCTTCAGTTGTGCTCGTGGAGTGAAGCATGTCTTGTCAGTTCTGACAGTGTAGCTACAACATTAACAAGGTGACTGGTAAATAAGGCAAACTACAATGCTGTGACTTATGTATATTGTAATTTTATTGTGTAACCTTATCGGCAGCTGGTGGTACTGAAAAGGAGTTTACAGTGTAGCAGCCTGGGATTTACCAGCAGGCAGATGAATGTGTGTAATTTAATTATGTATTTTTTAAATTCACCACTAATTCAAGTTATATTCCATGATAAAAAATAGTTAATCTAAACATCTGGAAAACTTTTCTGTACAAAATGTGTACTTTTGAAATATCAGGTTACATCATGTACACACATGTATGCAGCAGAGAGACTTACCCAAAGGTCATGTTCAGCGTAGTCAAAGAGGAGCCACACCTTTCTGTCACTGTGGGACAGGAACACTTTCTGCAGGGCGATCACATTTGGGTGTTTCAGTTCTCGTAACAGCTGAAAGACCCGACAGAAAGGCGTCAATAATTTGGGGTCATTTTAAAAGGCATTTTATAAGAGTTTTCAGTGTAAGCACAGCAAACATGTTTTCTTGAAATCTGTGCTCATGTATTGTATTAGTAACCCAGTCTGTCAGGAGCACAAAATAAACAGTGTTCTCATGAAAGAAAGCTTTCAACTGTTGCTTCATTTGGAAAATAGTTAAGAAGGAACAAAGTGCAAATTCCCAGTGTACACCGTGTCCTCTGTTCTCAAACACAGACACTGATGCAGATTAATCAAGTACAGTGATCCTGTGATGTAGCCAAAAATGACAAGGAATAATGACATGGGTAATGAATACATATCGTTAGGAGGATTTTATGCAAAACCCCTAAGAGTATTATGACTAGATTAATTTACAGCATGGATACACATAACACATAAGACAGAGAATAATTAATTTCTAAAATGAGACATGAGAAACAGCTAAATACTTTTTAGCGTTTATTTTTAACTGCAGGTACTGAAGGAAAACATTTTTTAAAATGCTGTATTGTTGGTCAGCGAATGCCCTTAGTTTTGGAGAAGACATTTTAGAGGACACATCATGTCAAAGACAATCATCTGTGTTTCTCAGAAATAATATTTACTCTAAGTCTAAATGGTAGATGATTGGTATCCAGGCTGTGTGTAATCCTCTTAATAACATGAGCTGATTAGCTCTTTGTCTGATTTTGTTAATCACACATCACTGTAAAAAACTAATACATCCTGAATGGATAAATAAAACTGATGAAACTGAAGTAACAAAGATGGCAAATTTAATTTAAAAGTAATAGAGATGTAATTGTGTTGATCCAACGCTTGATTAAGAGTTGATATATCTATAGCTATAGGATGCTATATTTGTAAATACATTTTCAAACTGTAGAGGTTGAATCTAACTAAGCTATGCAAGGCTTGGATTTGATTGGTTAAATAATGATCTTACCTGGTTATTAAATCAAATACACTCATCGGCCACTTTATTAGGTGCACCTGTTCAATTGCTTGTTAACACAAATAACTAATGAGCTAATCACACGGCAGCAACTCAGTGCATTTAGGCATGTAGACGTGGTCAAGACAACTTGCTGTAGTTCAAGCCGAGCATCAGAATGGGGAAGAAAGGCAGATTTAAGTGACTTTGAACGGGGCATGGTTGTTGGTGCCAGACGGGCTGGTCTGAGTATTTCAGAAACTGCTGATCTGCTGGGATTTTCAGCACAACCATCAAAGGGGGGTCCAACCCGGTACTAGCAAAGTAAAGTGGCCGGTGAGTGTAGTTGTACATATCAAAGTATTTCACTCCTGGCCTCCTGATCATTTCTCCAAGAAAAGCAAGTATGGAAAAGTGACACTTTATGCTACACTATCAAATGCTATGCTTAGATATTAAGAAATTAAAATTAAATTAGGGTTGCACAATTAATCTAATCCCAATCCCAATGTCGTCATATGCAATTATGTGCGATTTAATAAAACAGTAAAAGTGTGTGTGGCGCTCTCTTCTCTGCTCATTATCTCTGCCCACACCGGGCTCTCGCATGTGTCCCTAAAACAGATAAGCCTACGTGCAATGAGAAAAATGGTTTATGAGCAGTGTGCCAGTAACTTTTAAGACAGCAACCTACTGTAACCCCCCTCCCCTCCCCGCCCCGCCCCTAATTGTTCAAAACACAGTCGGACTCTCCACTGGAGCACCGGGAGAAAGGCTGGTTCTCCGGTCGCTCTGTGACAGAGACGGAGAGACGTTGACAGCAGCTGAAGCGGTCAGACAGAAGAACACGGGGACAAGATAGGGAAGGATTGGGTTTGGCTTGCTGGACATATAACGTTGGCTGTATCGCTGCCTTTTGTTGTTCAACATGTTCACCTTCTCACAGAGCCGACGTGCCTGTCAGTCACTTTACATCAGCCAACCAATCGCAGCCTGGAAGGGGCGGGACATTAAAAAAAGTTTGACGTGCTACAGCAGATTATTAAATGTTGAACAATATGATTACTGACAAGTTAGTACTTAGCATTAATACATTAGAGACCAATGTAGAGCCTTTTCCTGCACAAGGATTAAATAAATAAAAACAACCCACAGAAATGAAACAGCTGGAACTGGACATAATATTCAGCTAGTGGTAAAATAGTATACTAATATATGAAAAGCTAATGAATGTACAGTTCCTCCTGCAGGTTGTGGATAGAGACTCTGCATGAGACAGATGTTCAGCGTGCCAATATTTGCCGCTTCTGGCTGCCTCCTCCGTAGAGCAACACGCTCCCCTTGTTCTGTTTTACTAGTTATTGTTATACATATTGTTTAACTTTGTTCAAGTTGAGAAACATTTCAAAATGTCAGTATTTCACGCATTCCTTGATAATTAAGCAAGTAGACTCACAGTAACATTTGTTCCATTATAATCAAATCGCAATCGCAATAATCACAATATGACTTTTTCTCCAAATCGTGCTGCTCTAAATTTAATCAAAATTAAATTACTGATTTTACATTTCACTCACACACACCCTACAATGCATACAGTGCAGAGTGTTAAGCTTGCATTGTAAAGCAGTATTATTATAGTTAATGTTCATTATATAAGATCAATGAACACCATTAAGGAGCTTTCTCCGGTGAAACATAGTACAATGCTATTGCAATGGGAACAGCAAACCATTCCAGTCCTAGAAATGCAGCATTTAAGTGTCCCAATTTAAAATGAGTTTAATCTATTGTACTAGCTTTTAAGAAACAGTATGGTAATGTTGTCCTTTAATTTACCGGTGAGCCCCTGGCTGTAACAGCAGCTGAAGGCCTAATGGAAGTCAGTAGTGAGACAGCTGTATAATGGAGGACCTCCATCCTGGCAAACGCTGCACACAGTGCTTCATGATTCAAGCAGCACCTCTTTCACTGTCTTTGTAACTGGTTCACTGGGTTCACTCCTATTCGTACTATGCCATTTGCTGACCCATCACAGACTATCCACAATCAATCATGCCCTTCAGACAGGCCCCCATGTCTGCAGGGTGTTTAGGGAGGGAGGGAGACAGAACTGAAACAATCTACAGTGAATCCCACCCATTAAATTAATTATTCATATGTACAGGCTGGTATGGCTCTTACTGTGCTTCACCTACAATAATATGCAGAGCAAAACAGTGCAGACGCTATTTTAAATTTGCAACATGGCAGTGTTTTATTACAATTATTGGATTGTCAACCTTTAGTTTTTTGTCTGTTGTGACTCCCATGTTGTTGTTGTTCTGTATGAACTTTGCTTTTTGGCTACACATTTTGCACAAACATACGGTGGCAGACTCGAGTCCAAAAGAGTTACTTGCTTACTTATCAGTGATGCGGATGGAGACTGAGTGAGAACACAATAAAATATCAATGTGAACCTGCAGCTTAATGATACTTGTATACTCAAAGTCCCACTCAAAGGCCAACTAAAGCTTTGTAAATACCTTATGCTCCTGAAACCAGGTCAGCAGCGCACAGGGAATGGCTCTGATTTCAGAGAACGCATTGACAAATCCTGCGTTACATGGTAGAGCTGCTCTCTTACACACTCAAAAACAGGACTGTGCTGGATTTACTTAATTAATTCATCATATAATGCATATTTGAGTTTAACAGTCCTTTTTTTCTTCTGCTCTGCTCACAGATCTTATTTTAACTTCAACATATCTGGATAAGGTCTTGTAATTTGACTTGGACCTTACTAAGGTGATCTGGACAATAGCCCTGTCTGCATACAAATATATGGCTCACACACAGCTGAAGCTGATGGGAATGTCATTAACTTTGGAAGTAATTTGGTCAACCAAAGTATAGGACACAATGAAACTGTGACCTAATGAAGGCACTGTAGGTGCTCTGTAGTTTTATGCTACCTATCGAGATGCGCTACTTAGCAGTTCTGTGCATGCGCCCATAAATCTATGCAACCTTGCTGTCGGACATGCTGTTGAGACTGCGGCTAATGGTGAGAGATAACTAAAACATTTTTTTTTTTTTTTTTTAACCATATCTCTGAACAAATAGATGGAAAAACTAGAGTAGATAATAAACAAACCCCCAAAGATCAGTCTACTGGGGAGGAACTACAACCTTTTGATCTGGAGAAAGTAATTTGGTTGGTTCTGTTGCTCCACAGTGATTTTACATTTATGGCACAGCATGTTTTGGGCATCACCCCCTAAAACCCTGTTAATATGACCTCAGAATCATTCTAGATAGGATTGTTCATGTTTGCCTTTTGTGTCTACATTTTACAGCTTTTGACATTTATCTGTAGTCATTAATATAAAAAATAGGCAACATGAGAAACCTCCTCCCTTCTGAGGTGCATTTTATTTGCACATTAAGATCAAAAAAAGAAACATCTCCTCATTAGCTTAAAAGGACTAGTTTGCATCACTAATTTGCGTTAAGTTACTAACCTCAGCTCCTCCAGTCACCTCCGTCACAACCGCTTTTTCAGACTCATCTGAAAACTGAAAAATAATTTAGGATGTATCTGTCTGTACAGAACTGTAGGCTACACCAATTTATTCTCAGTTTGTACCTGATGATCTCAACATTGGACTAGTAGGTAGTACTTTCTATAAATTGACCTAATGTTAATTTACATAGCAGCTAAAAGACGCAGCCTGCTGTAGAAGCTTTCCTGTTCAGCTATGCAGTCTGTAGGGGAGGGGAGATGTTAGCTAGCACAAACTTTCACTTTTCCAGCAGTTGGAAAACAACAGACAGACTTTTCTTGGTCTTGAGAAGCTAACACACATAGCCGACACAGCAGGCTACATTTACTGCCAGAAGAATTATCGTTGCTGTTACAACAGCGCCTGTCACTGATGTGGTCTGATGAGTGTTACCGTGCTCGCACAGTGTGTGAGTGAAAATTACTAGCGCACTGATGTAATAATGTGTAGGGAAATTTTAGTAGCAGGGGTCACAATTCAGCAGCGGT